TCAAGATCTGACATAGTTCATCGCTCTTGAGAATGTTGGAATTGCTTTCTGGTTCGATATCACGACATTTGGAGTCACAGATTCTACAGTTGAAACTGTCCTCTGAATCGACATTCAACATATCTACCAGATTTCTAGACAATGCACAGGGGATATTGCTCAGAACACATAAGAATCTTAGTTTGTCCTGCTCCGATAGTCCAATGTATGATGTACTTTCCGTTGTCAGTCAACAATTGTATTCATGGGGACAATACATGTCGACTTACAGAACCGCACAGCTCAGATCCCCCAGGGTGCCACTCCGATCACAGCCGAGTAGTTCAAGTGACTTGACTATAAGCCTCTCTGCCACATTTCGGCCTTCTCTGTAGGCATTCAATCGCGGGAGACAGCGATGTTTGGCCATCCGGTCAGCCCCAACACCACTAATGGAGGAGTGGTCAGAACCCGGGGTTTCGTGACTAGCTACCAATTCCGTTGAATGCCCCCCGCAGAAAGCTGCCTCTGCACCCTTCGCGTTGGAAGAATTGTAAGTCATGGAACAATGTACGAGGGAGCATTCGATCGCAACCTAGCTTTGAGTTAACCAGACGGTAGCTATGGTGAGGGCCATACGGGATGATATACCTGAAGACAAGTATCGAATGAACTGAACAATGCGAGGTTACTCTTAATAGGTAGCAGTGTAGCCCCCATTGATTGCATAAGATCCTTTTCGGATGTGAAAGCCTTGGTGAAGCTGTCAATGGCATGGCTTAGGCTTAATTGGAGAACAGAAGCCTGATTTAGCATATCTAGAGCAAAGGTTTCTGCGACTGTCTGGAGGAAAATGTATGCTAGCCTCTGTTTCGCTGATGTATGTGGAACATGGTCACAAAACCTTTTGATGAACCTCAGGAACTGTGAAAAGGTCGGCACTTGGTTTGTGACGTCCTCAGTATCTGATTTGGAGTGCCAAAGCACAGCGAGCTTCCACAAGCGCCGATAATTATTAGAGAGCCATGCCAAGTCCTGTCGTTTAGAGGGGATATTATAAGAAACGTGAGCATTAATTGTAGATGTGAGCATATCAAGGCATAGACGGACTGTTTGAGCGCAGCTCTCAAGTCTGATCAATTTCTTCAGAGATCCACAGCGCAGGCCAAGTCTGTCAAGATCCAAAGTACAGGGCTGCTTCGGGTATACTACAGGGGAGCCGGCCACATGGGTAAGCCGAGCTCGAGACTGATGGGCTTCAAGAGCATCAAGAAGTTCTGGAGGGATCAGTATAGGACTCAGATCTAGCCGAGGAATCTCACAAACCAGTAGTGCAGGCCCGAACAAAGGCAGTAATACCAACAAACGAAGACCAGAGCTTCGTATGATTGTGTGAAGCGTTGAACATACTTGCGAGGATGCCAGCGATTCTATCTTCGACAGGCTCACTGTCCCAGGTAGAGAATAGATGGACTAGCCAGACGACTAGACACGAGTACAAGGGACTTGCTGCATCCTTTCCCAGAACTTCTGGCTCTGGCATCTCCAAAAGCGCTAATGGGGCTTTGTCAACAGCATTTTGGACGATGTCCAAGCAGTCCAGGAGTTGACCTTGCAATTCCGACCTATCATCTCTGATACAGGGCTCTAGACCTGCTTTCAGCACGATGCAAATCAGTTTCTTAACATCAGTGATACTATCATTAAGCTGAAGATGACTATATTTCCCTTCAAGCAACTCATGCCGGAGCTGCGAAAATGCCTCTTTAGTTAAACCAAGCGTCCCATCACCCTGTGATGAAAGATGTGGTGCAAGGTTGGCTGCGAGCGTAGAGGAAACTGGCTCTGCAGGATTCCAATCTGCAACCCCAGGAATAGGTAAACGAGACTCCTTGCGCTTATTAGTTGCCATTGGCGATGCCTTTATACATGGTCCTGATTTCTCCCAGGCCTCGTTGAGCGCGAAGAGTGGTGATCAGACCGGCTTAAGATCTACGGATAGTAATACTCATGTATGTTTCAGTGACGCGTAGTACGGTGTAAGTAACATGTATGGTTTCCCCACAGTCCATCCATCCAGTGAGGTGTTGGAATTCTTTAATGCACGCACGAGTTAATGTGGGCATAAAGCATGAAACCCGCTTATCAATTGCTATCAAAGTGAATACCTTCAAGTATCGACTTGTTATGTGCACGGTTGCAGAATAGTACTCGTATACGGAGTTACTTGGAAGCGGTGGTATCATTACTACTACAATAAGCGGACTTCCGGGCGGTGGGTAATCAAATGGGTTTTCAAGGCAAAATCCTGGTATCTACGGGCTCACTGAGCTCTACAAGGAAAGTTTCTCTTCCGCTTCCTGTGTAGAAACAGGTGGGGTACAAAAGGAAAGATAAGGTCTAGAAACTTAGTAAAACTTGTGCTCAAATTCAGTGGCTTTGTACATGCAGAGTGACCCCCTCGGGTGACTCTTATACTTGTTATCCAGCCTATTCCTGGTGTCATCAGTGCCGGCTACTACAGCTAATTCACCTCCCAGCAACAATCTCACAAAGCCCTTCTCAGTCTAGCGGATGAAATATGGAGATGTCTGGTGACATGCCGCCTGAGTTGCTGGAGAACAACGCCGAACATGCTTATTTCATGAAGCAGGCGTTAATGATGGTAATTGTATCTTGCCCTAGTGACACTGGAGATTGGTATTCTTATACTCGCTCTAGGGAGAAAAAGCCCTTGCAACCGGTGAAACCCCGGTTGGCTGTGTTCTGGTGTATGACAACAAGATTGTTGGTTTTGGAATGAATGATACAAACAAATCCATGAATGTAGGTGAGCCAGCTGCCTGAACCATCAATCCCCATGGAGACCTCGGAAGTTTCAATGAATCTTCCAATTTCCCTTGTCCCTTGGGAGAGTTCCCCTCAAAGCAAAATTAGAAAGCGTTTGTGAAATCTAAAACCATAGCCGGTCTTATCAGGGTACAAGACATGCCGAGTTCATTGCCATCGGAGAAATGCTCCGAACTTATCCTAGGTCAGCACTGCGTTCAACAGACCTCTATGTGACTGTTGAACCGTGTGTCATGTGTGCATCTGCTTTGAGACAATATCAGATACGAAAAGTATACTTCGGTTGTGGAAATGATAGGTTCGGGGGAACCGGTAGCATTTTATCACTACATGCCGAGTCCGTTCTTGCCTTCCCGCGGACCTACACACCTATGACCTAGAACTAATTCATGCTAGTCGCTCGATAGATCCACCATACCCTGTACAAGGCGGGTTGTTCCATAAGGAAGCTATCATGTTACTTCGGCGCTTCTACATACAAGAAAATGAGAAGGGTAGGTAGCTAGCTTCTGACAACTGTGACAAGGAAGCCTTCTAACAGACTCTTTCGAGCAGCGCCCAAGCCCCGCCCTAAAAAGCACCGTGAATTGAAAACGGATTTCGACCAGGAAGTCCTCATTGCCTCCCCTACACCCTGAGCGGGAACGGGTTGTACTTAGTCGAACGGCCGCACAATGAAGGAAGCTGAGGGCTAAGCATCTTCGATGTCGTGTAGAAGCGATCAAGGTGAAGTGAGGGAAAGGTTCCATTTAGGTTTTGCGTTGTTTCAGGAACTAAATATACAATATCGCGCAAGAGCCAATGAAACGTTAACGAGCCGATCCTTATACCGTCTTTCATGTCACAAGTTTAGGAGCTAGCTTGCTTCAACCGCTCGGCTTCCAGCTCCCGCTCGGCCTGCTGATAGTACTTGGCCGTGTCGACGCCATGCTTGTATTGCAGTTAGTAACAAGTTTTACACCCGACGCTGATGGTTATGTATGAAAGGTGATGGTCCCATTGTACTTACCTGGTCATGGTTGACAAGGTTGAACCATGGAAGAACATGGATGAATAGCTCAGAGTATCTAGAGTTTCGAGCAGCAACGCCTTGCAGGTATGAAGAAACTTTAGATGTGCCATATAGGGATTCCCCTTTCTTGACTTTGTCCACCATCTCCTTCATATCCATATCAGCTTCCCTCGAATTCTCCGTGAAGCCATAGAAGCGGTCTGCACAAGAACGTTAGTATTACAAGGGCGTAGATCGAAACAACTGCTCCATGGTTGCACTGACTGCAGGATCTCTGATAGACCACGTGGAGACCTCCAATAAGGCCAATGGCTGTTGCTAGGCGCATCACAGGAGCGAACCCTCCCCTGCCGACGTGAGAAGGGCTCACTCTTTCCATAACCCAGAACGCAAGAGGAGACGCAGCGGCCATTCCGCCGCCCACTGCGTAGTCAGAGGGTCGTGCATATCCGAAAACTCGTCTCAAGTGCCTGGTTTAAAAAGTGAGTCAATTGCAATATGGCAACGTCAAGCTGGTCCATACGGGTCGGAGTCAATTAGCTACAAAAGCCAAAGTTAGCCGCAAGATCTGTAACTCCATTTCGGATAGAGAATAATCAACCCTACCGGGTAGTCTGTATTGGCCCGCTTTGGGGGAACAAGAATTGACTTGTGATCAGTCGCCATTGTGACCGGGCTGGGACAGTGGAGGATGAATTATAATGGACGTTTCTGGATTGGCTTCCGCTTCAATGGAGATGGAAGTCGGACGGAGTTATGCCAAGCCCAAAGCCATACCGATTGAAGACTAGCAGGTATTCATAATTACAAAGCCTAAGTAATGCGTAGTTACAGTTATGCTGAAAAGGTTTTGTAACCCGTTGTCACGCTAGCCCGACCGCCTACCCTACTTTGGTGATATGATACTAATACGTAGTACTGATCTTACCTTTCCTGGCAAATTGGCTGAGAACCTGGCACGCGTCTTGAGCGACGCGTAACGCTATCCGTTTACAGCTGTCCGAGGTAGTCATTTGCGGATTTTCATCGAAGTATGCGTACTACTTGTTCAGTCAACAATAACCGGATTTTATGAGAAGATTGTCATTTTCACTATTTCACAAGTCATCAGGAGGTTCGTTGGATGATGGAGAAAGATGTGGGCTACTCAAACCCATCAATGGGCCATGATGATGCATTGTTCGATTATGATGCCGGCTTAGAGAGCACATTGCAAGATATAGCTGTGGATTCAAACAGAGGTGGGCCCATTGCTGCACCTGTATTAGGCTTGGATGAAAAGGTTACAATCACTAAGCAGCGACGATCTACTGTCAAGCTGGATGAGGGCCGGTAAGACTGACAACCGGGGGAGTGCTCTGAATACAATGCTTATTGCTTCCTAGATTACTGTCACAAGCCGGCATACCAAAACTGCGTTCTACGGCGAAGTCTAAATTGAAATTCAAAGGGAAAGGACATGAGGTCTGCTGAACCCTTCATACTTTCGCTGAGGGATGTCTGCGTAGCTAACTCTCTCAAAGTTTTCGGACGCCGCTCGACTATTAAATTTCTACCAACTATGGCTCGATGATTTGTTCCCTCGCGCGAAGTTCGCCGATGGATTGGCTATCATAGAGAAACTGGGTCATTCGAAACGCTTGCAGACGATGCGACGAGAATGGATAGACGAGGAAAAGCCGAGAATCCCCGCAACCGACTTTGAAGATGCGCAACAAACGGGGTTCTCGGCTCCACATGTCCATGATAATAGTATGTCTATTAGGCATTTGGATGAAGCCGACGCGATTTTGGGCCAAGGAGATAATGTGGCACAGTCGCCTCCAAGACATGGCATCGGAGCTCAGCCATCCTCACTTACGCTAGGAGACGCTCCTCAGCAGGGAGATTTGTTTGTGTCGGATAATGAGAGTGTCCCAAGAGAAATTACAGAAGGTACTCATGATAATGATGATGATGATGATGATGATGATGATGAGCTGGAAGCACTTCTTCGCGAGCACGAGGATAGCATTATTGATAATCATAATCTGGCAGGACCAGATGCATGGGCTTGAGGCAATAAGCCTATGGGTAGCCTGGGTTCCATAGACAATATTGATGTTTCGAGCAATACAACCACTTAGGGCACCAAGACATGTTTCGTACAGTGGACTAATTATTCCTATTTCTACATGGCGCAGACACGGTCTAGCCGGCCCCTCTTTTCCTTTTTCGAAAAAAAAAACCCTTGCTCTTTCCCTCTACCTTGAGAGTCACCGTAGAGTATAAGGTACATTATTTATCGAAAATGCTGTGCTTCAGCAGATACCACCATAATGTGATGTGCTTTCTTCCCTTTTTCTTCTCCTTTCCTTCCCCTCTCGTGTCTGCAATGGTTTATCAACTGGTCTAAGCATAATCTACAAGATTGGTAAGGCTCATGAAACATGCCATTGCGCGGGACTCATTAATGGAGTGCCGGTGTATCTCCGATTTTTCCCTGGCACTAGCTTTTCGTTTATGCTAATGCTGCAGGCTCAGTGAACACGGAGAATTGTCCACCACCGCCGGCCCAGTTTAACTTTTTCCCACGAACGGCAGTATTCTCGATGACAGTCGCTATTTCAATGTCATCCGGTGTACCCTGACCTGTTTGATAGGTGGCAGAGAATCCCCACGACCAAGGACGACCATCAACATCAATGACGAGTGAATGGTCTGAACCGGCTGCAACAGTATTGGCCTTGACTCCAGGAACAGCTTTAGGCTCTATCAAGATACGAGGCCGTCCGCGCTCGTCCTTAATGACCGCATCCTCAGGTAGACTGTCGATTTTCAGACCTGTTTGGTAGCCATCCAATCGTCCCCATACAAGGCACTCTCCATTATCAGCGATGGCAAGCGAATGATGGGCGCCGCCGCAGATCTGTGTAACTGCTTTCCCAGATAGCGACTCTACGGCGGTGGGATGCACAATTGCAGCTTCATCGTCACCGGCACCAGCCCTGATACCCGTTTCGCCGAAACTGTTCAAACCCCATGCGTAGACCTCTCCGGACTGATGAACAGCGAAAGAGTGAAAAGCCCCACAGCCGATATGCACGATATTCTTCGGCAGGCCAAACTCACGCGGCTGCAGGCCGTTCAATCTGTTTCGCTCAATGATACGACGGCCCAGTTGGTTTTGCTGGCCCGAACCCCATGAAAATACAGCACCTTTTTCGTTCAGTGCCAGGACATGATTATCGCCACAAGCCAGGTGTTTGATTTTCTTCAAAGACGGTATCAGACTAGGCGTAAGCTGGACTTTATTGGTGGCATCAAAACCTAAGATACCATCATTGCTCTAATTCGCCTCTTAGCCTAAGCAGTTCTTTATACAAGGGTATGCGAAGCTTGACTTACTCTAAATGTTCCCCAACCATAGACTTGACCATCATCCGTAAGGGCAAAACTTGAGCTGTCGCCAGCAGCAACTTCAACGAAGACGGTGTCTTTTGGGAAAGCCTCTGACGGAATAGCAGTGGGAATTGATTCGTGGGGATTTAAAGCAATGTCATCATCGGAGTCCGAGTCTGACTCATTGTCGGCTTTGTCCATATCTTTGTACCCACCGTCCCAAGTAGTATCTCTGCCAAGTGCTCCTTGGTCGTTGACGCCCCATGTAAGGATCTTGTTGTCATACGTAAGTGCAACGCAATGCATCCCACCAACAGCGACCTGCACGACACCGACACGGTCCGCTGGCAAGTTGGCATTCAACCGAGGCCGCTTCACGTCAACTGCATTCTTAGCAGATCCCAGCCCCAACTCGCCAGAGCTGCCTTCGCCGCACACATAGACATTTAGTCGAGTGGTTGGCGCATGGTTGATGACCACCTTCGGCTTCGGTTTAGTAACCCGGGGTTTAGCAACGCGGGCCTTTTTCACATCGCGAGCTGGAGCTTCATCGACAACTTCCGCCTTCCGCTTTACACGTTTCGCAGGCTCAACTTCACGCTTCTTTCTTGCAAGGTTGTCGTCCGTTCCACCACCCTTCTTGGGAGCCGTGGCAGATTTCGCGGTTTGTCTTTTGGTGGTCTTCTTGGGCTTCGCAGGGGCCTCTCGCTTGTCAGTTGGAGCTTTGCGAGCAGTACTGGTCGTGGCGGTTGTCTTCTTCGCTTTCGTCGTTGTTTTGGTGTTAGCCTTCGTAGCTGCCTTCGTCGTAGTAGTTGTAGTTGCTGTGGTCTGTTTAACCTTTGCCGCCGCAGCTGATGCCGCAGCCGGCTTGGGTGCGCTTTTCTTGGGCGGCATAGTCGCTGTCAGATTAACAACTATGTCTTGGCTCATTGGCCGTTGCAGTGGTACACCGGGAGCGTATCAGGGGCTTAGGGAGTTGGAAAAAGTAAAAGGCTCACCAGTGACCCAGGTAATGAGCTTTTAAAAACGAAAGAAGATGGAGGGAGGTGGGGAAGAGAAAAGCCACCGAAGAGGCGCTGGACGATTTGAAAAGAAAAAGGTACAAGAAAGGGTGGGGAATGCGCCCACGCGATAAGAGCTCTGGTGTTATTGTTGTTACTTCTTGTTGTGTTTTTGCGATCTAAAGAACAATGGCACCCGTTAAACAAAGAAACCCATTCTTTGAACACATCAACTCAGATAAAAGATGCCTAGCAGTATTTATATGTTTGGCTACAAGAGTTTTCTTGGTCATTCACATCCCAGGGACGGTTCTTTGTTTCTTTTTTTTTTTTTTTTTTCTTTGTTCTCCCCCCTGCTCCCCTAATCTTCATTGAATATACTATCTTATTTCGGTGCCCTTGAGTACAGAATTAAGCTATAGTACCGGCCTGGGAATTATGCCTGCATGAAGTTGGTTAATTCCGAAGACTCAACTTCTTCCATTGCTCAGGCATTCTTGACTACTAGTAGTAGGGACTGCTATCTCTTGCCAAGCTGCCATATGTACCAGTAGACGGTCCTCCCAACTGTTCCTGTAAAACATCCATCGTGACTTCGCTGACAGCCACCTTTGGTTTTGGGGGATACATTTTTGTTCTCAGCAACAATGGTGTGTTTTACGACTCGGCATTTGTAGTAGTAGGGGACTCAGTAGGGGGCGCAACCCGAATTCTTCCACACATAATAACATTCTGACCCAAGGGCATCCATTTCACGTCCCTAGGATTCAGAGCAGCGTTTGGCTTGCCTTCTTGATCCCGCTTGGAATCTGGGCTCACACTTACTCCACCGGAGCCAAGATAGGTTGGAGCGACAGTAACAATGATAGTATCAATAAATTCGGTGTATTCGGGGTTCAAAAGCTCACTCAAAACGGTCCCGCCGCCTTCGATCATGACGCTTTTGATCCCCTCAGATGCCAACGCACGTAGTATGGCTTCCCAGCGCAGCCGCCAGTTCTGATTGTACTCCATAATACGGAGATAATCGCCCCCGTAGCCCTTCAGCATCATCAACTTTTGTGGGTCAATCCTGGCTCCTGGGGATACCACTACCCAGGGCGCCTTGCCTTTCCCTTCTACTGCAGTCCTCAGCATTCGGCAGTCTGGATGTACAGGCCATCGTCCTGTGGGATCGACTATCACTGGCCGCGGTTGCCACATCCTTCCAAGGCCACCGAACCCACCTGCGCCTTCCAGCCTACAGTTTAGCCCGGGGTTGTCTGCAAGCACTGTTCCAACTCCGATGAGGATTGCGTCATGACGTGACCTGAGATAGTGGGTCATTAATTTAGCCTCTGGCCCGGATAGCACAGTTTGCATGCCTGGCAGGAGTGATATCTTAGAGTCCATCGACGATGCATAGGACAGGGTGACATGAGGGAACTGGCGGCGGTCATTGTGCTTTGGGAGATAAGGCTCAAGAAAATCTAGAGGGAACCGAGGGAAGGAGAGCGTATCCGGGGGCAAAGATGAGTGTATGGCTGCATTCGAGAGTAACTTGTCGCTCGGAGTATTGCTGATACCACCAGCCGCTCGCATCCTTACAATGCCATGACCCTTATGATATTCATAGCCTTCATGCGCCACAAGTTTAACGTCGGGGTTCTGTATCCTCCACTTCGCCGAGACATTGCGCACGTCCGTCACTGTACAGAATTTGCCCCCAGCTTCAACAAGCTTTTCAGGTTCTTCTTGGAACTTTGTGAAAATTGAGGAAGGTAGATACCCTTTGATTGCTTCCCTCCGCGCAAACTCCATTAATCCAGAATTTCGCTTCACTCGGTCAATATAATCAAGGTCATGTGAATGTACCCGACTGCTCCCTGGAGTTCTCGCTATTGTCACCGTCGAATATGCTCCTTCGAACTTGACAACTTTGATCTGGAAGTTGCAGATACCACCCTCCCGCACTCTCTTCTTTCGGGGGCGTTTGCCCTCAGGAAGAGGACGAGTTTCTGACGTACGATGAGTGGGGCGTCGCAGACGACACATATAATAGTCCGTGGTGCAATGCCCTTCTTTGCTGGAATTAGACCTCTGTTTGACCCATACATTGTCGATAAACGGCCAATAAGTCTCAAATTCCTCCAAGCTAATCTCTATGGGATCCTTGCACTCGAACATCACTTGGCGTATCCTTGCAAGATTGGGGGGATTATTGATGAGATTGTGGTTTGTGGCCGAGCTTGAGTCCCTTGACCGGGAGTCACAGCTGGGATCGTCGACATCTGCTTCTCTAGGGATATCGTCGCTCGCGGAGTTGTGGTCGCTTCCTATCTGCACGGGTCCTTGTATATCCAATCCCTCTGGTCTTGCAGACTCCGTCGCATTCCCAGAGAAGTGGTCGGTTTCGAGAACCGCATCGTGGGGTATGAGGTCGGCGGGCGTTGTATTATTATCGTGGTTGCGGTTGTTATCATTCTCGTAGAAAGCCACCATGCGTCCGTTCAATGGAGCTTCTTCCAGTCCATCTTTTGCACGGTTCGGAGCATCATCGCACGATGAGCCCGACCCAGAGTCGGGCGATAATGATTTTGTACTCGTATCAGACGCGTCTGAGCGGTCATGTTCCATGTCGAACATCGGAGTTTTCTGGGGCTAGACCAAGGGCAGCTTGAGAGACACGTACGGTGTGGTCCAATATCGGGTCGAAAAGGCCCCGCAGCTAGCCTGCTCATATCATGGCTCAGAAACGATGCACTTGTCGGACTCCTAATGTGGAAATACGTGACGCCTGTTGTCTATTGAGGCGAGCCACTCACTTCTAGGCGCTCTTCCTTGACTAAAAGTGTTCAGGGTCAGATTAGGCCTTGTGCTGTCAATTCCCTCCGTCATCCAGCCGACGTTTCTTGGCACCCTCTCTTGCGGAAAGTGCCCGCGTTTGCCGGAAACCAAGCGCCATTTATATAGGTATTCGTTGGTACGCGTCGTAAATATGCAGCTCTACAAACTATAGTTTAGGTATCGAATAGAAGCTACAGAGTAACGATTACGTTGTGTTGTTGTAGCATCTACCTCAAGTCGCCGACAAATAATTTCATGTGGAATCTAACTTGAGTACAAGCCAATACAGAAGTCAAGAACGCGCTATAGCCCAATGCAACCTCCTATTGGGCTGGCTTCTCAATAAGCGCCGATCTCTGCTCCAGCTCGCGCCAGCGTCTCATATACTTTCGGCGGCAGCTTGTATTTGACCATCCCCGAGAAAATCATTAGATCCTTGGCCATGACGAGCAACTCATCCGCCAGTCCCTGCCTAATCTCGTTCTCATATGTACCAGAGTTCAGCCGTTCCCTTTCGTGACCAATACATGTGATACACCACATGATCACATGGCCAACATTATGGGATATTATTGGCGGGAAGGACGAGAAGGCTTGGGCAGCGCTCCTAATGTAGGGAACGGAGCCTCGGGCCCGCAATGGAAGAATGCTCAGATCATTGATAGCCTAGACGGAAACCGTTAGTTTGGTCGCTGCCTGTCAACCCGAGTAGAAAGATCAACTTACGTCCAAAGCCGGCGTCCATTTTGCTGCCTCAACCTCCACCTTAGCCTCCATCATCCTAAGCAACAATCCACATGCATCGCGATTGACTTGCCGGATTCGTTGGTAATACATCGCATTTGCGTTATACAACCCAATCATATTCCTTGCCAGAATAACCGGATTATCCACGGTTGTTAAGCTGAGACTGCCGCCGGCCTCCAGTTCATGTTCATCGGTCCGAGGCCTCAAAGGCTGCAATTTCAGGGCGGGTCCACCCAATTCTACAGCAACGGCGTCAGATAGCGCTCGATTGATGATATCAATGACGCGGTCGTAGTCCTCGGCAAGATGATACAACAGGACCGCGTCCGTTATAAGGCCCTTGTCATCGGCGATAGCTGCTGCTTGCAGAGTGATCGTCTTGAGGAACTCATCTTGATCGACCAGTTTGATCAAGCTAATACGTTGTTCAATAAGTCCCTTGATTCTGCTTCCATCTGACCTGATGTCGCCCAGCAATTTAGCAAAGTCCCTGGTCTCGAGGATAAATTCCCGTAATGCTTCGTGGCATACAGAAGCTTGGGATTTACCCAGAGCTCCGGGCAGGTCGGCGTTAAGGCATAACAGCGTAAAGTAATCAATGGCCGCTTCCACAAATCCCGTCCGGAATTCTCTCGTGTATTGCGTGATTAGGTAGCCGAAATTAATCTGTGGGTATTGCTTCACAGTAAAGGACACTGTGGCTGTTAGTCTTGCCTATAGCATTCATCACGGCATATCGGGTTTCCACTTACATATCTCTTCACCTGACGTGTAAAAGTCTGAGACGCGCAAAACACCATAATATGCCAAGGCAATGGCAAAGTGCACAGCTGTGATTGGAGCATAAGAACCAAGGTATGAAACAGCTTGCTCAAACATTCCTCCCAAGATTTGCAGAAAGAAAAAGGTTCCATAGCCTCCGGGCCCCTCTTGGCCTTTTCCGAATACTCGCTGACCAATCTCCGTGATATCAGTTTGAATGTCTTCGAGTCCAAAGACGTCGCCGGCAATTTCCTCCGCTCTATCATCTTCCCTAGCCATACTGAACTGTAACCACATCCAGTCTTCAACACTTTGATTTATACCGTCTAAGCGCCTGCGGCCAAGTTCACAGCGTCCGATGATTTTGTAGCAAGCCATACGGTACGGATCAACTGTGTTATCAGGCGCATTGCGAGACCGTTGTTGATATTCGCCGTTGATCTTTTGTTGCAGATCTCTAGGCAACCGTCGATTCTGCGCATATGTAGTCATATATGTCACAAATTTGTGATCTAGAGACCTAAAGCCGGGATCCTGGCTCACGTATTCTGCAGCTTCGGTAACGAAACCACAGCGAAGGAGGTAGAAAATGAGAATCCAGCAATAATCCTGGCCAACCATCTGCAACTCCGTACCATCAGGAGCAAGGTCTTTCCGTGCCGCTCTAAGCCGAATATAGGCACGAATCTTATTGGTCACAGTTGGTATGCCACCGAGTTGCGCCTCCCGAGGGTTTTTGGTAATCACACTTTCAACCTCGTCGTAAAAGAGCTTTTCCAGGAAAGACCTAGAGCCCTCAACAATACGTTTTCTCAGACTTACTGCTCTGCGCGAATTTGGGCTCTCATCCAAATAATCTTGGGCAAACTGACGTTCCACGAGAGCCGAGGGATCATTCATGGTGTTAGCATCTGGAGACTCCCCAACAATGCTTATCAAAGCTCTATAAGCATCGTACAATTGTCGAGGTACCTGATAGAGTCAGTCAACCGCGTACGGGGCTTTGTTTAAGAAACTTACATCGCCGCCAGCATGCCCTTCAACATCGGAGAACTCATGAAGGATCGGAAATGCTCTAGTATGTAGCCTAGCAGAATTTAGTTGCCGAACCTTGTCTGCATAGTAGCCCATTTTCTCTCGTAAGAAGCGAAGATCAGAGTGACCCCCCGCACCCTCATTGCGCTCCGTAGAATCTTCGAAGAGTCGGAGGCTTGCCGTCCCTGTTCCTGGGGTCCCGATGACGGATTTTTCTAAAGCGGAGCGTCCGAATACACTTCGCCGACCTGAAGGCGTAGGGCCATTTGTGGATGCAGGGCCGAACTGTTTAGGTCGCCGCATCGTGCGCCCGAAGCTACCTCTTATATCGCCAGCGCCATCGTCTTTTTGCGCTAGTCCGAAGTGCTGGAATATCTTCCGGCGCTGTTCCTCCCAGTCCATGTCAACCTTCTCTTCCAAGAATGAGTCAAAATCTTTCTGGGTCCGAGCAAGACTCTCATTGATCATCACTTGACGACCGCGCTGTTGTATGTTTTTTAGAAATTTCTGGTTATCTGGGTCAAAAGTATCTTGTTCTCTCAGTGGTGTCGATACCGATGCCTGAGGGTCCAAAGCCTTCAGGTCCCGCAAGGCGTGGCCAGGAGATACACCTGAAGCCGCGAGCAGATAATGGCTGGTTTAATAGAATATCAGCCGACAAGACCTGAGCAGAAGGAGGTTAACTTACGCTTTGCTGTGTGGTACTTGAGGTTGAAATTCCTTTGAGCCACCAGCACCAAGTTCCCTAGCTTTTCTACGAATGTCGTCAAGACCCAATTGAAGACTTGGCAGCTCCTCGAAATTGCCGTTTTGAGCAATTGCAGAGATTGGTCTCTTTTTTCCGCGTTCTAGTAAACTGTTGAAAAAAGCCGGCTGGGTCGTCTGGCTGGACGGTGGCGCTGCATTGGCTTGTACCTGATCTTGTGCAAAGACCGAGCTCGAAGTAGGCTGCTGTTGCACTTGCGACGGCTTTGCGAAATTTGTTCCACCTGTAAGGCCCGGCGTTCCAGATTGATTCCCAAAGAGACTCGATGATTGCGTAGCAGCTCCTAGGCCACCCCCTCCAAAGAGGGAGCCGGTGTTCGTGGAGGCCATTAGAGGATATGGGGGCTAATGCTGTCTGTGTTTATCCAGCAGTCACAGAACGTCCACTGTAATTGCTATCCAAATAGATATTATAAGCATGATTATGTTTAAAGTAAGTTTAGGAACTTGCAGCTCACTGTCAGTAAAGTAAGAAGAGATGAATATGACACCTTATTGAGATCGACCCTGATACTGTCTTCGCTCGGTTTGCGATTCGACAAGTCGGTTGATAAACTGTTTTGGCGTGCAGTCCCAGATTCCGTAGGTATGTCGGACTTACTTTTTTGCCGAGCTTTGTCGGGCTTACCGGAGATCAGTGATTGACCGCTTTCCTTCACTTCAATTTGCTAATTCACTTTCCAACTCTGGGTAGTCGCTATCAAGTATTGGCGCGTGTTTGGCCCAGCACATTAATTAGCATAACCAATTCCATCCCAGGGGAAGGCTTGACGTGCCGCTACACAATGCCGGTATTTCAGGCCAAGACGTTTCGACGCGCAACAACAGCATCGTCTACTCTCGGAGAACGAATCGGCGCGGCCTACCGGGCTCATCTAACTAAACGCCCATTCCTACTCTTCGGCCTTCCTTTCATTATGATAATAGTTTCCGGGTCTTTCGCTTTAACACCCGCTGCCGCTCTGAGGTACGAGCGGTACGATCGCAAAGTTAAACAATTAAGTCAAGAGGAAGCGATCAATCTAGGCCTCAAAGGGCCCGATGGCGATGAGGGCATCAAGCGAAATCCACGGCGACGAGTTATTGGTGACGAAAGAGAGGAATACTATGTCAGTATACACGCCTATCGGTCAAGCAAGATCTGCGTAATCTAGTTGGAATGTGGGATAGCAGCTAACGTGGTACCATTTTTACAGCGGCTTATGGCCAAAGATCTTGATGATTGGGAGCAAAAAAGAGTACAACGCTTCAAAGGCGAGCCTGATGGAAAACTCTGAGATGCGCCACGTTTGCTTCCAAATTGACCTTGAGCCGATGTGAATCACTCTTTGGCGATAGCCACATAAATGCGACTTCCTTTTCCCTTTAACCCCCCTTAAAAAGCCCGATGTAGCTCAGTCTTACCTATGGTCGCACGTTGGTATGTAATGATAATGATTGTCGCGCGTTTGCAATGTGAAGTTGTTGAACGTCACTGATATTGAACCCTTTATATAGAGTCGACAAGTATTCCTTCCAAGGGCCAGACTATGGAGGTTCTATATCATGCTGCCTTCTTGGTGCTATCTGCAGTTTCGCCTCGTCGCAGCAGACGCTGATACGACTTCATGTATGTTAGTAAGTATGTTAGTCTTAGTTGTACACCACAAGCACCTACTTGTTTTCTACTAATGCCTCACTTGTCCCGTAACAAGCGAAGCATGTCCAGCCAGCAACTATTCATGATTGACAAGAAGCGATTCCTGGAAGTTCCATACCTCCCAGGATGAATGTGCGAGAAAGACCCGAGCTGAACCGCTGGCTTATCCTCCTAATTGTTGGGTCAAAATCGTGCACAGCATCAAGGTCACCATAGTTGCGCATAAACTACACCCTACTCTTTCCAATGATACGCAAGCCCACCTACAGAGGCCATGCGTCTCCCAGCTTAGGCAGCCTTAGGCAGCTAGTAGTAACCTTGGGTACATGGTCCCAGCTATGTACCATGTATTTCGTCTCTTCTGCGATGGAGAGTAGCAGCTAGAGCAAAGCCAGCTGGCTGCTTTATCAAGGCTTTGTTCCACCTGTTAGTGTGTAGTCGCCCTATGCCTACGAATTTGACACGATTTATTGTCGTGGGAGTTTACGCGGATGTGGGGGAGGAAATCAGGTCCCTTCCAACATCGAAAGAAATGCGTAGAGTAAGGGGGAGAAGTGAACTAAACAAGAAGGGAGGCACTTTAGCAGATTGAAGCATCTGTTTGTCACCAATATGGGTGCTCTTCCACATCTATACACATTTATTCTTGAGTGCTTCGTTTCTGAATTAAATCGTTGTACTACTCATGATGAAGTCTCGCCTTCCTGTTGCGCCCTTCGGATGGGTTTTTTTGGGGGGAGGATATGAGTGCTGGGGTTATGATGGACTCGCCACATCCTTCCCGGTTCCTGGTGGCTCTGAGCGATCCAGACCGGCCGCTGCTGCGTGGTTAACGAGTGGCTCTGCACACTTTGCCGCTTCCCGAGCCTCTGCCACCAACCCATAACGTCATATCCAGAGAACGACTTCGTTCCCTCCGGTTTTCTCACCAGCCCATTCGCTCTTCCACGCAGCCTTCTCGGTTGTTGGCCCCCGATTCCCCTACGTGCTTGAAATGATGACTGTGGATCAGTGATATCAGTCATATCCCTGTGTCCCCCACTTTCCTCCCCTCAAGTCCTCCATTGGTTCAGAATTCTGCTCTGCTGGAAGTACGAGTTTTGGGCCCCTTCAGTGAGACGTGGGATCCTGCAACTGCGGCTTTGGTCAGGAGAGCACGACCTCCTCATGCCTTTCATCGGTCACTTAGGTTCCTCATCACTGACTGCTTTTACCTGCGAATCCCTTTCATTCTTCAGTAGGATACCACTATTGCATCTAAATCTTCTGAGAATTTGCATTTCACCTGGCCGATTACGCAGTGTGGCCACCATCGCCTCCAGCTATCTCTGTATTTGCCCCTCCGCATTTACCCGTTCAGACCCTCTTCTCAGCCCGACCCCTCGAAGACAGGTTGACGACGTGTTCCTTCAGAAGCCTCCGTTCTCATTCAGGCTTAGTATCTACGCCTTCGATGAGTAGCCACTGGATTTCTGTTGACATACTGAGACAGACCAGTGTGTATACTTTATGGAAAAGCAGTGTTTTCTCCCCGCCAGTTGTCGGAGAAATTAAATTTAGTCACGGTTTCTGAGACTGTTCTTCACATTCGGGGATTATATCTATCGCGCTATGGCAATGACTGTTTGAATGTTGACGTGTCATCTAACAAGCTGGCAAGCAGAAGGAAGCCACTGATATTTCCTTGAGAGTTTGAAAGTCATGTCGGCCATGACAGGTACAAGATCACCTACGTCCCCTTGGCCCCCGGAGTGTCAAAACCTGCAGCTCGAGGGTTCCTCTACTCCATCGGCCCTTTTCACATTGCGTGAATCTCAAATGTCCCCGCTAGGACATGGTATCAACCCTCACAACTCGGTATCAGAACGCTCGGGTCCCAATTACTTCTCTATTAGCGTGGAAAGCCCTGGTAATCCAAGGAGAAGCCGGGATGCGATCTCATACACCCAGCCCCCGGTTTCTAGTCCCAAAGCACAGCTCTTATCCAAAAACAAAGCTTTTGAGGATTATGTGGGCCTGCCGAAGACCGGGGTAGTGGCCGATGACGAACACAGAGAATCACCGGTATTTCGGCTTTCCTGGAACCCTAGCCTACAGAGACGGAGTCCGATACCTGCCCGACAGGATGCATCTCCTTTGAGGCAGACGTCTACTCACGGACATGGCGTTTCGGTTGAGCGCTGCGCAGAACTTCTTGGGTCCTCTCATAGGGATATCATGCTATTAGATGTAAGGCCTTACGCGCATTTCGCGAAGGGGTCTATTAGAGGATCGTTGAACCTTTGTATTCCGACAACCCTTCTCAAGCGACCATCCTTCGACACGCAAAAATTAACAAATACGTTCACGAATGAAGCTGACAAAGAGAGCTTTGCGGGGTGGAGGAGATGTCGTTACATAATAGTCTATGATGCTGCCACATCTGACATGAAAGACGCCAGTTCGCTGATGAATGTTCTTAAAAAGTTCACTGCAGAAGGGTGGAGCGGCGAAGGATTAATACTTCTTGGGGGCTTCAAAGCTTTTTCATCTCGCTTTCCCACTCTCATTCAAGGACAGCAAATTCCAGTATCCGACTCACCCGCGGGAAGACCATCTCGAATGCATATTGATCTTCCAAGTGTCGCTCCCGTTGCAGGCGGCTGTGCTCTCCCCGAGTCCTCCCATGCCGCGATCCCTTTCTTCGGGAACATACGACAACACATGGATCTCATCGGCGGTGTCGGTCAGATCCCACTTCAAGTACCTCACAGTATCTCAGAATCCAAGAAACGCTTACTCCCTCCTTGGCTGCGCGAAGTGTCAGAGTCCTCAGATAAAGGCCGCAAAGTTTCAGAAAAGTTTCTGGGTCTGGAGAAAAAGGAGCTGGAACGTATGAAGAAGGCATTGTCTTACGAGAAGTCTACCGATGCCGCTACAATAAATGACTCTTCGGAAAACTTTCGCGTGGCGGGAATTGAAAAAGGCACAAAGAATAGATACAACGACATTTACCCATTCGATCATTCCAGGGTGAGGTTGCAAAATGTGTCACCCGGAGGCTGCGACTATGTGAACGCAAATCACATGAAGGCAGCTTATAGTGGTAAACATTACATAGCTACCCAAGCACCCGTACCTGATACGTTCAATGTAAGTATATGCCTTCCGGGGGATAACGCACATATTTACGTGTCGAATGCTCATTCGTCTCACAGGACTTTTGGCGCGTTGTTTGGGAACAGGATGTCCGCCTGGTGGTTTCTTTGACTGCCGAAGTTGAGCGGGGACATGTCAAATGCCACCCTTACTGGGAATCTGGCAATTATGGGCCTTGTCAGGTCAACAACTATTCTCAGAAATTCATCTATTTGGATGCGCAAGATCCGCAGCCAACTGATATGGAGCTTGACAAGCCGGAAGAATCTGGCAGTCCCTATATCATTGTCAGGCATTTCGGCTTGTCGCACTCATCATTTCCATTCCAACCCTTGCGCGAAGTAACGCAGCTACAATATCCCCATTGGCCTGATTTTGGGACCACATCTCAACCAGCACACCTTCTCAAACTTATCGAGCAGTGTGATAAAGTTATAGCAGCAACAACTGGATCACATCAGGGTTCTTGCGATGGACGCGCAAACTCGAGGCCGGTGTTGGTGCATTGCAGCGCAGGATGTGGCCGTACTGGGACATTCTGTACAGTGGATAGCGTGCTGGACATGTTGAAACGACAACGCAGTGCAGCGCATGCCTCGGGTGGAAATATGAACCAATGGTCCCATACCGACAATGTGGATCTCATCGAAAGAACGGTAGACGACTTTCGAACGCAGAGGCCAAGCATGGTGCAAAATTTGAGCCAGTTTGTTCTGTGTTATGAGAGCGTCTTGGAATGGACACTCGCGCAGATGGGGAAAGAGCAAGATATAGGAGGTTGCTGAGGGGTCTTTCATTACGGTTAGACGTTTAGACACTGGGGATGGTCGTGATAGTAGACGGCTTGGATATATTTTTCGTCATGTCATCTGCGTACAGGGTTTAGCAATGAAGTTTTGGCCCTCTGTACATCCCTCATTTCCCCGTCTTCTTCGAATGATCAGGCACATGTCAGCATAGCGAAGACACTGAATATTTCCCATCACCGGTTACAATTTTCCAACTTTCCTGCTTTTCGGTAAGCCCTGTAGATCACTTTGCCTGAGAGACTGTTTATAATATATCGGTCGGTCAAAGCGGGTGGATCCGGACAACATAGCGGGTGTGCTCTTCACTAGTACATTAAGTCTCTAGAATACTTCCTTAGATTTAGCAAGTACTATCCTGCCATTTCAGAGCCGCATCATATTCAAGGTCTCTAGTTAAACCGCAGCAAGGTAATTGATTGTAGAAGCCAGAAGGTTGAATGCAAAGTTATGAGAGTCTCGACAGGCAGGCAACAACAGGTAACGACGGCAGCGGCGGCGGCTGCCTGAGATTCTGCTCATATAAGGAAAGCGAGCAACCCCCAAAGCAAATACTAAGCAAAGCTCGTCCCCGACTATCCACAATACTTTCCGGTTCTATTTTGGAGCTAGAACTTAAGACACTACTACACACCAGGTTGTACAATCTCATTTCAACCCTCTTGAGTGAAGTACTTGGGCGACCTTTCCGAATCCTCATTTGACATTCAGCCTCAAAGAATTAGTCTGAATCTAGTGTCATGATCCTAAACCTCCCACCTGAACTTATTCAACTGGTTCTTCAGAACTGCAACACACCTGCTTTCTTAGAGGCAGCTTTCTCCTGTCGCATTATTCATGAGATCGCTTCTACTTGCCGAGAGGTTCTTCTGCATCACCTACGGCGAACACCGGGCATTGTCAATCGAGACCTACGCTCCCTCAGCTCAAAACAACTCTTTCGCT